TAACTATCCTCAAGGGTATAAAGGAAGATATGCTGATAATGAGTTATAGAGGACTTCACAAAAATAGAAACTAAAACAGACTCAAATGGAAATTCTAGAGTTGAAAACTACAATATTGGAAATTAGAAAATGCACTGTATTTTTCAAGAAAAAAATGAAGATGCAGATATGTCAGTGAACTTGAAGATAAATTGCTAGAAATTACCTGATCTGAATAAAAGGGGAACACAAATAGATGAACAGAGTTCCAGTGACATGGGAGATGATATCAAAATGTAATTAGAGTCACAGAGGGTGAGGAGAGAATGGGGTAGAAAAAATATTTGAATAAATAATAGACAAAATTTTTCCATATTTGGTATAATATGTAATACTTTTCAGAAGCTCAGATAGTCCCCAAGTGTTTAATTCAACGAAAATCATGACTGAGCATATTACAATCTAACTTCTTAAAAATCAAATATAAGGAGAAAATTTTGGAAGGAGTCAGGGAAAAGTAATGCATTACATACTGAGGAACAAAAAATAAAATAATTAGTAACTTCTCATTAGAAACAGTGGAGGCCAAAAGACAATGAATGGAATGACATCTTTAAATGCTGAGAGAGAGAGAGGAAAAAACTCTCTCTTATGAGAGTTGTTATTATGTTGCTGGGGAAAACCCCATCAAGAATGAAGACAAAATGAAGATATTTTCAGCTGAAAGAAGACTGACAGAACTTGTTGATTACAGATTTTACAACAAAATATGCTAAAGGAAGTTCGTCAAGCTGAAGATAAATAATGGTGAATAGAAACTCGGAACTTCAGGAAGGAAAGCAGAACATGGAAAATAATAAATATGTGGATAACTATAAAATACTATGTTGTAAAAAGTCCTTTAACATACATATAACTAAGGCAAAAATTAAAACATGAGAGGCACCTGAGTGGCTCAGTGGGTTAAAGCCTCTGCCTTCGGCTCAGGTCATGATCCCAGGGTCCTGGGATTCAGCCCCACGTGGGGCTCTCTGCTCAGCTGGGAGCCTGCTTCCCCCTTATCCCCCATCTCTGCCAGCCTCTCTGCCTACTTGTGATCTCTTTCTCTCTCTCTGTCAAATAAATAAAATCTTTAAAAAGAAAAAAAAGTAGTTAAAAAAATTAAAACATGATAATATGTTGGTAGCATATTCAAATATATTTATAAGGCAATTAGAACATAAAAACAAGAGTAGGGTTGAAGAGAGCTATACAATTGCTACATTATTGAATAGTATGTGAATTGAATCTAGATTTTGTACTGCTTGGTTTAGACCTTGGTATAAAAAGAAAAATTTTCAAGGTTAATTTGTAAAAAAAAAAAGTCTATAACATTCATATTAGTTTTTATGTAAGCCATACTCACTGCCACAGTGGACAAACCCTGATATTTCAGTGGCTTAACACAATCGTTGTTTATTTCCTTTCTGTATCCATGTTGGTAGTGTTCATTTTTGCTCTCCCACATGAGTTCTTAGTAATTCAGTGATTTAGGAAGGTAGTCGGCTTCCATCTTGTGTCTTAGTTATCTGAAGAAGATGGAAGAGAGAATTATGGAAAGTCATCTCCACTCTTAGCTGCCTTGCACCAGAGGTTATATATGACTTCTACTCACATTTATTTCATAAGAATAAGTCACAAGGTCATACTTAAATTCTTGAGACCAAAGAAATGTATATCTGTGTCCAAGAAAATGAAAATCTCTGGTGAACATTTAGCATTTTCTTTGCCATGATATCCAAATTAGTGGAGGGCAAATGAGTTAGAAAAAAACAAATTTAATCAATCAAAATATTTAAAAACTGAATAAAAATGAAATAGGAAAAGTAAAACAAAAATAAAACACATGTTTTGGAAACATTTAAACATATAAGTAATTATTGTAATAAAAGAAGTGTTAACCTCTCCAGTTAAAAGACAGTGGAAATTAGACTGGATAAAAAAATGAATTCTAGACATCTGCTATTTGTAAATCACTGAGTTTTAATGTTTGAATGTAGGAAGTTGAAAAAAAAGAGGCATGAAATGATGTACTAGTAAAATGCTAATCAAAGCATTTGGTTATATGAGGCAAAGTAGATATTAAGACATAAAGCATTACTGGTGAGACAGAGGGTCACTTTATAATGATAAACATTTAAGTCATGAGGGAGGAATACTTCTAATTATGAATGTAGCTAATAAAATGGCTTCAAACTATGTTGAGCAAAAATTGCTGGTATCACAGGGAGAGATTAACAAATCCACTATCATTCCCTGAGATTTTATGATACCTCTTTCAATTATTGATAGAGCACGTATGCAGGAAACCCAGTAAAACTAGGATAAATTGAATAAAACAATAATTTTGATCAGAGAGATACACACTTACATGCAGAAGCCTGCAGACAACAGAAGATAGATATTTTCTTAAGTATAAATGGAATATTTATAAAACCGTGTCTTATGTCATAAATCTCAAACTTCATAAAAAGTCACTATTATGAAGAAGAATTTCTCTGGCTATAGCATAACTAAAATAGATAATTTTAAAATTGGGAAAAATCCTCATTTTTAAAAATTAATAGGGAAAACCTCCTTTAAATAGCCCATGAATCTGAGTAATCTTAACAGAAGTGTTTAAAGATGTATTGAAAACGGAATGACAGTGATCATACTATATATATAATGACTTGTGAAATGCAACAAAAGGAACACATTCAGAAAGGTTAGGATAAATCCAAAAAAAAGGTAGAGGGAAGGAATTAAAGATATTAACATATATTACTGAAATGGAATATGAATATGCCAAAGAAGGTCAATGCCAATATGTAGTTCAATTAAGAGATGAGAAATTGATTATTCTCTGGAAAAACTGATTGTTTAAAAAAGTAGGTAGACACAAATAAATATTAGAGATGATAAAGGAGTGGGACCAAGATGGCGGTATGAGACTTCTGAAATTTCCTCTTCCTATAGACACACCAAATGTACAGCTATATGTTGAACAATTCCCTCTGAGAAAAATCCAGAAACTATGTGAGTGACTCTTACACACTGGGTGAATGAGAATATCAAAACCGGTTAAAAAAGAAGAAAAGGCTGAGATACACTGTCCTTATAAACTCCAATGCTGGCACAGCTCCATGTGGTTGGGAAAGAATCCCCAACTTCCAGCTTCGCCGTGAGGCATGAAGGATTTAGACGACATATGAAGCAACCCAAATTTTAAGAATTCCACCCAAGGGCGTGACTTACAAGGTTAGAAAAGAGTTCCTTAAATCACAAAAGAAAATGATGAAGAAAACTTTGACCGTATTGCAATGAAAACTTGTGTCTGTTATCGTAAGACATATTGGCAATCATGAAAAGGGAAGGCAAGACTGGGTGAAGACATGTGTGCCACATCTAACTGACAAATACTTTGCATCAAAATTATATAAAATATAATTCATTTCCAACAAATGAATAAAAAGCAGACTACCCAATAGAACAATGAATACATAAATAAAAGGAAACATGAATAACCAGTAAATACATAAAAGAGGCCCAACCTCAAAAATTATCAGGCAAATTCAACCTAAAACCATAGGGAGATGTATGTCAGGATGTTAAGATTCTTCAAAGTCTGAAATTCAAACAGGAACTCTCATTCATTGCAGTTATGAGTGTAAAATTATACAATTGTTTTAAAGAACAATTTCACAATATCTGAAAAAGCTATCTTTTTCTTTAGTCTTAAACTACAAATATGTTATAAAGAAAACTGTACGTGGGAGATAGTTGTTACAGTTTCTAATAGGGAAAATATGGGGCACCCTAAATATTCAGCACTAGAAGAAGTATCTATTTTGTTGTGGAATATGCATAAAATGGGATATTATATGGAGGTCCAACAACTAAATGAATAGCTATATGGAAAACAATAATAAGGGCAAGAGGAAATTTTCAGAGGTGATGGACGTGTTTATGGCAATAGACTGTTGACATGGTTTCATGGATATATACTTGTTTCCAAACACATCAGTTGCATATGTTAAATAGGTACAGATTTTTCTATTTCAACCGTATCTCAATAAAGTAGTTTAAAGCAAGCAAACAAACACAAAAAAGTTCCAGAATCATATTTTGTATTTATATGAAATTAGAAGATTTGCACAACATAGCCTTATATATTGTTTAGTGATGTATAAATATATTGCTACATTTTAAAAATTAAAGGCATACACATGATGATAAACACAAAATTAATGAATGATGAATTCTCAGGTTCATGTGGAAGATGAAAAAGCAAGCAGGGAGGAATGCATACTGGTTTCCATTATTTTGTGAAACTAATTATTCTCAATGGCACAAGAACACGGTACGGAGTGCCATCTTACTTTCTCCGTATCTAAACTATATGTCTAGAAGAGATATCTGAACTATATCACAGTAAATAAAACGTAGATACCTGACCTATATCACAATAAACAAAAAGTATTTTTCAAAAGAGTTGGATGTCATCCGAGGCCAAGTCTAATAAATCAAGTAACCCAAATTTTTTATACCTAAATGATTAAAAATTAGGCAAGTTTCTTTCTTGTGTGTGCATGTTTCTTATTAAACTGACCCTGAAGCATTTTCTCAAAAGTAGTTTTTGTGGTATTTTGAGAAAGGACTACATCATTGTTTCTGTGTGTCACTTTCCAAAGTGATTTCTTTGAAGGGGACAAGCGTCATCTGGATGTATAACGTGTCCAAGTTCCAGTGTATATGTTAAAAAGTTCGCCTTCCTTTCTTTATTTCAATACCGTATGTTGGAGATACTCATTACATTGGAGAAACTAGACAGATGTGAGCAATGCCTCTATGCCAGATAATAGATCATCATCAATGATTCAAAGTCTTTTTTTTTTTTTCTTTTTGAAATCTTGAGATACAGGGCTTTTTTGAAGAGACTTTTCTACTGCATGAATATTTGACTAAAAGCCTCACAAGAGAACTCTTTCGTTTATCACTAGGCACTCGATGAACCAGCCAAGACTGAAAGTGTCTTCAAGGACAACACTTTAGACCCACCTCTGGAGGTAATGACTTCAGATTACCCATGCTTTTGAAACAAAAGACCGAAACTCATTGCTAACTCAGTACCTGGTTTCAATTCTTCCAGTTTTGTTTCCCTGCACAGCTCAGGCAGCAAACTGAAGAGCTCTGTGCTACCATTGATAAGGTCTTACAGGATTCCTTGTCTATGGTAATGCCTTAGACTAGAATGTGCAATTCAAACATTTGCTTTGCTTCTCTTCATTTTCCTCTGTTTGAGTATGATGCGTCTTAGGTTTGTCCTTCTTGTTTCTTTTTCTTTTCCAGCATTCTGACTCTCCTTCGAGTTCCTCACAGACATTGTTGGGTTCTGACACAATGAAAGTATGTATATATTTAATATAATTTGCTGAACCATAAGAGTGACTAGATCAATGGTTTTAAACTGCAGGCTAAGACCCTGTCGTGACTTGGAAAGTAAATTAGTTGACTAGCAACCAGCATCTTAAAAACAGAATAATAGGAATGTAAAATATCAGACTTGATTACAAGTAGTGAGTAGTATTGTTGAAGTATGTATCAATTTGTTTACGTGTATGTATGTAAGTATATGTGTACAGGGTTACAAAGTAAAATTTATTACTAACTATGGGTTAAGTTCAAATAGTTTGAAAGCCAAAGTGTTAGACTTTGTCCTTATAGTTGGCATTTTAAGAAGCATTTTAAGAACTGCATATAGAATTTGTGGCTTATCCTTATCTCATACCATAGCTTCAGTACTTATGTAATTCACAGTCACTTAGAATTGCAGAAGTGGGAAAGGAAGTAGACTGAAGTTACATTAGACTAAGAGCTTTCACACAGGTATTTCTGGAACTTTTTTCCTTTTGGTCAACTAATTTTATTTCATTATTCTTTGACTCACAGGGACAGAAACCTGGATATTTTAGATTGTTTGGATACTACTAAGTCATTAATTGTTTTAACTGAGTATTTAATTACTTCCTTCTTATAATAGTCATTTTCGTTTGTTGGAATAAAATGCTACATTTTTTTTTTGAACGCTTAATACAGATCTCATCAAATTTTCAAAATGGTTGTGGATTTTTCTTTATAATTGTTAAGGTTTTTTGGTCAGCTGTATTTTCACTCTTTGAGTGAGTATAAATGCTTTTTTCAGGTTCCCTTTAAAAATTGTACATTGTGGGGGCACTTCGGTGGCTCAGTCATTAAGCATCTGCCTTCGGCTCAGGTCATGAGCCCAGGGTCTTGGGACTGAGTCCTGCATTGTCGGGCTCCCTGCTCAGCAGGAAGCCTGCTTCTCCTTCTCCCACTCCCCCTCCTTGTGTTGCCTCTCTTGCTGTCTCTCTCTCTCTCTCTGTCAAATAAATAAATAAAATTTTTAAAAAATAAAAATAAAATATAAGTTGTACATTGTATATACAAAGCAAGTTTTAAACGTACAGAATTGCTTATGACTAGAAGAGTATCCTAATTTTTGATTGGAATATCAAAACTATAATTATCCATGAATAATGACATAGGAACTCAGTAACTAATAATCATCAGTATTAACAAATGATATTTTAGCAGAGAGGACCTACAAATAGATAATTGTAATTTTTATATTTGCCTATTCATTGTATATTCTTTAAGTCTTTTAATATAAAAATATGAAACATTGATTTCTTTGAGGCTACATAAATTTTAAAGTATATTTTCATTCTGTTTGTTGAACATATAAAAAGTACTTTATATTTTATAATAGGAATAAAACTTAAGTAATACTATGTGAATAATATATATTATTGGTTTATTTAACAAATATTTAATGCTTATAGTATTAAAATACATTATTCTAAGTCACTAAATTTAAGACAACTGTTTCATTCAACACGTATTTATTAAGGGCCTACTATGTGCCTGATGGTGTGAGGCATTAAGGAGATAATGGCGAGCAAGGTAATGTAAGCAAGGTAATGTTTTGGATGTAGTGATCAGAAAGAGGAATTCAAGCTGAGAGCGGAGATGGGAAGAGTCCAAAGTATAGAGAGATCAGGGAGATTAGCTTTCAGGTGTAAGCACGTGCACGTTTCCCGAGGCAGGAAGGAACTTAGTATGTATGAAGATGAAGGTGAGTATGGCTGCAGTATAGGGAACCAGGGGCCGAGCATGTGAAATGGGATGGTGGGCTAGGGATAGTGACTTAGATACTTACAGCATACCCTGGAGGTATGGAAGGCTCAGTTCCAGCCCATAGCAATATGGTGAATATTGCAATAAAGTGAATCAAGTGCATTTTTCCATTTCCCAATACATATAAAATTTATGTTCACAATATGTCATCATCTGTTAAGTGTGTAATAACATGTCTAGAAAACAATGGACATATCTTAATTAAAAATACTTTATTGTTAAATAATGCTAACTGTCCTCTGAACTTTCAGAGAGTCATAACCTTTTTGCTGGTGGAGGGTCTTGCCTCCATGTTGATGGTCCCTGACTGATCAGGGTGGTGGTTGCTCAAGGCCGGGGTGGCTGTGGCAATTTCTTCAAACAAGACAACGATGAAGTTTGCCTCATCAATGGACACTTCCTTCCATGATTTCTCTGTAGTGTGTGATGCTGTCTGATGGCATTTTACCCGCAGAACTTCTTTCACAATTAGTCCTCTCAAATCCTGCCACAACTTTAACAACTAAGTTTATGTCATGTTCTAAATCCTTTGTTATCATTTCAACGATCTTCCCATTATCTTTATCAAGAGTACATTCCATCTCAAGAAACCGTATTCTTTATTCCTCCACCAGAAACAACTCCTCATCCATTCGAGTTTGATCATGAGATTGCAGCAACTCAGGCACATCTTCGGGCTCCACTTCCAATTTTAGGTCTCGCTGTTTCCACCCCATCTGCACTTACTTCCCCTAGCGAAATCTTGAACTCCTTCAAGTCCTCCATGAGGGCTGGAATCAAGTTCTTCCAAACTCACATCAGTGTTGATATTCTGACCTCTTCCCATGAGTCACAGATGTTCTTAATGGCATCAAGAATGGTGAATTGTGTCCAGAAAGTTTTCTTTTCATTTTTTCTTTTTTTAAAAAATTGAGGTATAGGGATTCTCTCTCTTCCTCAGCCCGCCCCCCCTTTGACTTGTGCTTGGTTTCTCCCTCTTTGAAAAAAATACAAATAAATAAAATCAATAAAATTGGAGTATGTTGATACATAATATTATATTAGCTTCAGGTGTGTAACATCGTGATATGACAATTCTGTATATTATCCTATGTCACCACAATTGTAGCTACTGTCTGACCGCATACAATGCTATTATTATACCACTAACTATATTCTCTATGCTGTATCTTTTATTCCTGTGAATTATTCATTCCATAACTGGAAGCCTATACCTCCCACTTTCCTTCATTCATTTGACCATTCCCTTGCCTCCTCCCCTCTGGCCACCATCAGTTTGTTCTCTGTATTTATGAGTATTTTTCTGGTTTTGTTTATTTGTTATTTGTTGGCTCATTTGTTTTTGTTTGTTTGTTTTGTTTTGTTTTTAGACTCCACATATAAGTGAAATCATATGGTATTTGTCTTTCTCTGTCTGACTTATTTCACTTAGCATAATATCCTCAAGGTCTTTCCATGTTGCTGCAAATGACATAGTAAGACTTAAAAGTCAATACTACTCATTGATCCATGAGCTGCAGAATAAATGTTGGAATAGCAGTCATGGCAACAACATTAATCTTGCTGTACATTTCCATCAGAGTTCTTGGGTGACCAATTCTTTTGTCAATGAACAGTAATATTTTGAAAGGAATCTTTCTTTCTGAGCAATAGGTTTCAACAGTGGGCTTCAGATATCCAGTAAACCATGTTATAAACAGATGTGCTGTCATCTACACTTTGTTCCATTTATAGAGCACAGTCAAAGTAGATTTAGCAAAATTCTCAAGGATTATTCCTAGGATTTTCAGAATTGTCAATGAACACTGGCTTCAACTTAAAGTCACCAGCTACATTAGTCCCTAACAAGAGAGTTGGCCCCTATCCTTGGAAGCTTTGAAGCCAGGCACTGATTTCTCCTCTCTAGCTATGAAAGTCCTAGATGGCACCTTCTTCCAATATGAGCCTGTCTCATCTACATTGAAAATCTGTAGTTTAGTGCAGCCTCCTTCATGAATTCTCCCTAAATCTTCTGGATAACCTGCAGCTCCCAAATCAGCATTTGCTGGTTCACCTTGCACTTGAGTTGTATGGAGATGGTTTCTTTCCTTAAACCTCATGAACCCACCTTTTCAGGCTTCAAGCTTTTCTTCTGCAGCTTCCTCATCTCTCCCAGCCTTCCTTATCTCTCCCAGAGTTTGAAAAGAGTTAGGGTCTTGCTCTGGATTAGGCTTTGGTTTAAGGGAATGTTAGTGGCTATTTTGATCTTTTACCCAGATGGCAAAATCTTTCTCCACATCAGCAATAAGTCTGTTTCTTTCTTATCACTCGTATGTTCGCTGGAGTAGCACTTTTAATTTCCTGCAACAACTTCTGTGCATTCACAACTTGGCTGTTTGGCATGAGAAGCTTAGCTCTGCGTTTATCCTGCCTTTCAACATGCCTTCCTCACTAAGTTGAATCATTTCCAGCTTTTGATTTAAAGGGAGGGATGTGCAACTCTTCCTTTTACATGAACATTAAGAGGCCATTATAGGTTCTTAATTGACCTAATTTCAATTTTGTTATTTTTCAGGGAACAGGGAGACCAAGGTAAGGGAGAGAGATTGAGGAATGGCTTTTGGGGAAGTCAGAACACATCTTTGCCATCTTACATGGGCATGGCTCATGGCACCCCAAAATAATTACAATTGTAACATCAAAGATTACTGATCACAGATCACCGTAACAAATAGAACAATAACTAAAAAGTTTGAATATTGCAAGAATTACCAATAAGTGGCACAGAAATACAAAGTAGCAAATGTTGGAAAACGTGCTGATAAGCTTTTGTCACAGGTTGCCACAAAATTTCAATTTGTGAAAATCACATTATCTACAAAGCACAATAAAGTGAAGCACAATAAAACAAGGTATGCTTATATTTAATAGTGTGAAATTTGGAATCCATGGAAAATGGAGGGATATAAAAATATGGGAGAATAATATAAAATGATTGACAATGATCAAGATGGCTGCTGTGGGGGGGCTATTGAGGTCAGAGGACCAGTCAGTGATGGTGGCCTAAGTGGGGTGGATTCAGGGGGCTAGAGGAGAGCATGTGGGTTTGAGAGATATTTTAGGCTTGCTGTGGGGTTGGATGGAAGTAGTCTAAGAGAGTAAAATCATGGATAAACTCCAGGTTTCTGCCTTGAGCACAGACAATCATG